TAAATATTTGGCATGATTGGACCAAGTCACTGGATGGTTGTCGAGTAGTAGTGGTGGGATGTGAGTAGTATTGGAACGTCCAAAAAGAATACCTATTGTTTTTGGTAGGGTTTATTTTGATTTTCCAGCGATGAAACCATGTGGTAGCTAGGTTGAGTTGGTGTTGTAATTGTATGGCTGCACGTTTCGGGTTTTTGTCGAAAGTAAAGAACATAGTGTCGTCAGCGAATAGTGAGAGGTGAGCTTTCGGAGTTGTTGGTATGTCATTAATGTAAGTTAAGTAGAGAGTAGGTGAAAGGCAGGATCCTTGAGGGGCGCCTGCGAGTATGTGTCTGGTGGACGAGAACGAGTCTTCGATTTTTGTGACAAAAGTGCGGTCAGTGAGAAAGGATTCGATGATTTTAACGATTTCAGTCGAGATGTTGAGTTGGGACAGTTTGTAGAGGAGACCGACGTGCCAAACCCGGTCAAAGGCTTTTTCCACGTCAAGGAAAATGGAGGCGGTGTTAACGTTGTCGTTAAAGTTCTGACTAAGTTGGTGAGTAAGTTTGGTCAGTTGTAGAGTGGTAGAGTGTTCAGGTCTGAAGGCAAATTGTTCTGGGCGGATTTTGTCTCGAAGATTGGTTTGAAGGTGAGAGAGGATGATTCGTTCGTAAATTTTTGATATGGAGGAGAGTAGTCCAACATTAGAACTCGGATCACCTATATAGTATTACAGTATAATATACCGACTCTGTGGAGTGTGCGAATAACACGCCTGGAGCGTCTTCTAAGTACTACCTACTCACGATTTTTAACAGTATCTATTAATGTTTACCTACCACTGAAGCTCAAACTTACGGCGCGGTGTTTGCCGCAGAGACGTCTACATGGTTGCACGTTTATTTCAGTGTGTATTCGGTTATTTCTATATCACGATGCAGAACAAATAACATTCTTCGCAGGCATATAACACCAAGCCGCTGTTTGCGAATAGGTAAATACTATAATATAATTCGTAACTAGTCGAAACGGAGAGGCGTGGACTTATAATATATCGCTCATATAATATTATTATGCGCACCCGTACATGGATCGATTTTAGGGTGGTTAAACGGAAGGTGAAGTAAATCATTTGTCAACCACTCTAGTATAGATAATTTTTAATTTTTTTACTATCATGAAAATCGATGACATCCATGACAATACAATATCCACCTGCGTGACCATATAGGATTATTACATATATTTATGCAAAGCGAATGAGGTAGATATAATAGATAGGTTACATACATAGTACATACTTTATAATAATACATTTAATATGAGTAACATAATAATATTAATAATATTAATTTAATACAGAACAAAACAGGTGGCGAAGAGCCGACGATGGTACAGACGTACAGTGCATGAAATACGTGCATAATCGTGTTTAAACCTTTTAAACTCTATAATATACATATTACTGGTCTATCTTGTCAACAGAACCACAACAACAAAGGAACCGCCTGACAAATTTCTTTGTCTGGCGCCAAAATCAACGACGAGGACGTGTGTGTTTCGGACTTTCCGGTTTCCGTACATCGCTGGTGACCTGCTGAAACTTCAGATTTGGCGTTGATCGCCACCCAATATCTGCAGCTGTCTCGCCAGCTAATTTTGGATGTACTGGGATATTTGGCTCAGATACACAGAGCCTGCCATCCAGAAAACCTTTGGAATCAAAATTTTTCGACGATTCCAGTTTCCATACATCGTTGGTGACCTGCTGAAACTTCAGATTTGGCGTAGATCGCCACCCAATATCTGCAGCTGTCTCGCCAGCTAATTTTGGATGTACGGGGATGTTTGGCTCAGATACACAGAGCCTGCCGTCCAGAAAACCTTTGAAATCAAAATTTTTCGACGATTCCGGTTTACGTACATCGCTGGTGACCTGCTGAAACTTCAGATTTGGCGTTGATCGCCACCCAATATCTGTCGATTTGGCTGAGGAATTTTCACACATCGCGGCCATGTTAGGCATAGATACACATCTATATGACATATTTATTTGAAAATATTATATAGGCACAATTAACGGAGAAGATTATACAGAAATACGTATAGGAATGAAATGAATATTGACAAGTGGTAACTATGTGACACAGATATGAATTGTAGATTTTTGAAACATTCACGTACATGGCAACGATATTTTAGTTGTTTGTGTTGTTTTCTTAGAGCCAATATTAATAATGTTAATGAAGTTGAGAATTTCATAATGCTTTACCAAGAATTTTCGAAAACTAATTGGATTAATACGCGCTTAACGTTGGGAGTTGAGATTAGATTAAATTATCATTATGATCGTGACTAAATAATTTATAATGAAAAAAACGATTATTATAAAGGTACCTATCTAATATCTATAATACAGTAGGTACCGAGGTCCAAATGTTTTGTCTTAGTAAAATGTTTAAAGAATTTATTGAATAATTCGATAATTTTGAAGGCCGTGTACGATAATAACATATTAGAAACTTGGAAACTGTGAATGGAGCGAAAAATCGTTCCGTTATCAAAACTCCTCGGCGGCGGTGTGCCTAATCGCGTGCCTTGCTCGCGGCTGCCGCCTGTTATCTCGCATTTTTCGTTATTGGTTCTTTTTTCTCATCATCGGTATTATTATTTTTTGAAAAACGTTACGCTTTCTACGCCATTTTTCGAATTTTTGACTTTTTCTCATCGCCGTCACTCCTCTATTCATGTGGTTCGTTTGTTTTCGAGTCCCCCGATTTGAGGTTTATACTCGAAATCGGTCCGTAGCCTTCGCAATCGACGCCGGCCATTGGTCTTTATTATTACTTTTTTCGTGTTTCTCGATTCGTTTCGTCTTTTCAATCGCCGTTTGTACCCTATTCGTTTAGTTTATTTCTTTTAAAACCCGTGGATATGGGGTATGTAGGAAAATTCGTTTTGTTCACTTCAAAATTCGCATAAATTTCTACGCACAACTTGGATTTAATACTGATTTAATTTTTTTTTTTATTATTATTCACTAAATATTGCATTATTATATTATTCTACACATATTGTTTTGTCCTTTATTCATGATATATATTTAAGCTCTAGTCAACTATAATATGTAATGTGTAAATCTGTAATATACAGTATAGGTACAGAACAGTTCATCGGCGGCGTTATGAATGTCAGTATATGTAGGTATCTACCTGCAACACATATAATATAATATATAGTGTTGATATAGGTAGAGTTGCCCATATTGGTCAATCAGTATTTAATTAAGCACAAAAATTGTGCAGTAATGTAATGTCCTATAATCTATATACTACCTACTATGGGTACAGAATTGTTCATCGACAACTTTAGTATGTACATGTATTTATTATTTAAATCAGTTACTATATGGGTATAGCCTATATTGAAGGTTTTGATTAATAAATAAATTGTAGTGTACCTAATATAAGTACAGAATTATTGTTCATCCACGGCTTTATGAATGTCAGTATGTACTGTCAGGGGCGGGCTGGAAGAAAAATTCAGGCCTGGAAAATGTATTCCCAGGCCACATTTGTACCTACGTCTACGTCATAGGTATAAATATTTGGGTTTTGTTGGGGGGCTGATCATATGTAATACACCCCCTTCAACCGTCAATAATTTTTATAATTATTTATTTGTATTATAGGTTATAAAACCACAAAAAAAAACCGTACACAAATCAGTGTCAACATTTTAGTGTGAATGCAAATAAATAATTCAAATGCTAAGATACGCTTATCTATATTGTTTTTTCTATTGAAAAAATTTTAAACAAAGTTCAACTAACAATTTATTAAATGCAATTACAAGTAGGTAATACACTAATACTAGCTACTATGCAGCTTGAAAATTTAATAAAAAATCATTATTTATACCCTTAATAGGCGGTGCATTTCTAATACAAAAACATATCTTACAGGAAAAAATCTCACGCCCCGTAGAATAGTTGGTTTACGTCCATTTTTTTAAAATTTAAAATAAGACAACATTTTGTTGGTAGGATCAGTCTGATTTTCAAAATTATAATTATGCAATATACAGTATGTCCCAAAAGTCCCGTATCACCCTTAATATCTCCATGTAAATCACTATATTTAAACGTGTTTTTTTTTACAGTACTAAGTATGAAAATTCTGATTGAATGGCATAAAATTCATTTATTTTTTCTTTAAATTCAAAAATTTTCAAAAAAATTTTTTACGCATTTAATAATTTAAAATTTTTAAGAAAGCCATTTTGTTGAGCATATTTTTTAAAACAGTTCAAAAAAAAAAAAAATACTAAAATTAAATAAAAATTGACCAAGTTAGAGCAAGTTATGTTTTTGAATAATTGTAGTAAAAAAATAAATTATTGTTTCACATTTCAATAAACCGCATTTAAATATAGTGATTTTACATGGAGATATTAAGGGTGATACGGGATACTGGATATCCAGATAGTGAAATTCATCCAGATAGTGAATTTTGACGAAAATACATTATAATATGGACATCCATTTCATGAAATGGACAATACCTATATCGTGTACTTTGTGTAATTATTATTTTATTATATAATGGTTCATAAACTATCATTATACATTTATACGTATATTATATTTTATTATATAAATAATTATATTTTAACAAAAATATTTTTATTTTATTTTTCACGATTGATTATGACATTGACTGTTACAAAGCATACTTTTCAATATCAATAAAGATAATAATGCTTTATCCGTGATCTATATTATATATGAGGCTATTAGAGAGGTATCAAATTTAATTTCGGTAATTCCACATCCGATATAATATGAATGTTTCTTTATCGGATATTCGGTTGACAGTTGACGCCTTGACGGACACCTATGTAACTCCTAAGTTGTTCAAAAAATAACATTTAGTGAGTGTTTGTGTATAACACAGTTACAGTGTTTGCAGTTTATTCGTGTACCTATTTATTATTTAATATAGCAACTTCTAATAAAAATGGAAGAAAATGAAAAGCTAGATGAATATTATAAATTGAAATCTAAAAAAAAACCTTTCCCTAAATATGTTCAATTACAGATGATTGCTGAAATAAAAATGGCTAAAATCAAAACGTAAGTAATTTCGGACATAAATAAAAATTTACTTAATTAAATCAAATATAAATTTTAACACGTTTAAACAACAATAAAAAACTATTCTATAATTGATACAAATTGTAATATTTTTTATTATTATTTATTCTAACAGTGGTAAAAAAGATCGACGACAATACTATCTACTATCTACATATGATGTATTAAGTGTTGCAGAAGAAAAGTTTTTAATACACAAACAAAATGCAGCTGATGAAAAAATAAGGTAAATTAATATAATATTTTAGCTAAAATTATTTGAAACTAGTTTTTATTTTTATTTTTTAGATTCTGAGTGAAACGATGAATGTATTGATTTTACAATGATGTGTGTTTTTTATTTTTGTGTCTGTGGATACGATAAGTAGTCGAAATAATGCTCCGATTATCAACTTCAGTATCTTGTTCGATTCGAAAGTGAATATCGTTGGTGCATTGGGGAGGTCTAAATTTAAATTTCGCAGTAGTTTTCAAAAGCGCCGGGAAAAACAAAAGAAAAATTAAGGAAAAAACGGTAATTTTTACGGAAAATCTGTTTTCGAGAAATTCGATTTTGGTTTTTCATGCAACTCTTAATCAAATGACCGTAGGTACATGAAATTTTGAATGAATGTTTATATTAGCATTTTCTATACACCATAAAATTTTCCAAATATTTTGACTTATTTTGAGCTCTTAACGAACATTTTCATTTTCCATTTTTTTTTTAGTATTTTTTCTAAGAATATCAATAAAATTTTATTTGTTGGTTTAAAACACTTGAAAATTTAATAGAAGGCTCCTAGTATATTGTTTCAAAGGCAGATGAAAAATATTAAAATCGTTAGTCACAGTTTTTTTTTATAAGCGTTTAAAGTTCAAAAATTGACAAAATATGGAAAAATCACGAAAATTAGCAAATTACTAAAAGAAGAAAAAGTTAGACCCCTCTAAGAGGTTTTTTTTCATAACTTAAGGTATACTATCAAATGACGCCGGCCGGTCATTTATTTACGGAACGCATTGTATATCATGTATTTCTAAAGTTAAAGTAATTCAGTTTATTTTGTGATAATTTTTGAACACGAGTAAAAGGGCAATAATAAATAATAATATGTGAATTTATTTTAAAACTTACGAAAATGCGCAAAAGTGGTATTAGTGGAAATGGATTATCTTCTGAAGAAACCGACTTGCATCATTTGGTGAATATAGTAATTACAGTTAAACTAGATATAGTAGCACTGGCTGTATGCCTCCTAACCTGCACTTGATATCACCAAGAATAGTTGTTGGATCTAAAAGATTTTTTCACTTTAAAAAAAAATAATATGTTTTTTTGATTATCAGGAATATTATGAGTCCTGTATTGGTGTTCATAAAATTAACCCCACACATGTTTTAAGCCATTTCAACTGAAAAGTACGTTTAAATTTGACATAATCTTGAGCTGAAAATTGATAATTTACATCAGGCACCCATGAATTATGTAAAACTGAATTTTTTAGCTTCTGAGTGAAACGATGAATGTATTGATTTTACAATGATGTGTGTTTTTTTTTAGTTTTTTTTTCTAAAAATATCAATACAATTTTATTTATTGGTTAAAAAAGATTGAAATTGTATACAAGGCTCCTACTATATTGTTTACACATGGCATTTGAAAATATTAAAAATCCTTAGTCACAGTTTTTTTTTATAAGCATTTAAAGTTCAAAAAATTGACAAAATATGGAAAAATCACGAAAATTAGCAAATTATTTTGAGTTAAGAATTCGTAAAAATTTTTCTTTTTAAATCTAAGATATGAAAATGTAATACAAGATTCCTTATGAGATTTCCTACATTTATCAAAAAAAAAATTCTATAAGAAAGTCAAATTAAATTTTTATGAGCGTTTTAAATTCAAATTTTTACAACATTGGATATTCACTCGATTTCTCATGTGACGATTTCCTTATTTTGTTGTAATTCAAAAACGAATTACTGTAGATACATGAAAATTTCACTGAATGTTTATGTTAGCATTTCCTATACACCATACAATTTTGAAAATATTTTGACTCTTTTTGAGCTGTTTACGGGTATTTTCATTTTTCAATTTTTTTTAGTTTTTTTTTTCTATGAATATCAATAAAGTTTTATCTGTTGGGCCAAAAGTGTAAAAATTTAATACAAGGCTCCTGATATATTGTTATAATATCAGTTGAAAAATATTATAAATACATGGGCACAATTTTTCTTTATAAGCATTTAAACATCGAATTTTGACAGAATTTTTCAAATCTCGAAAATTATTAATCATCGTAATTAATAAATTATAAAATGTTCAGTTTTTTGAAAATTTAAAACAAGATTCCACGTAAGTAGTTAATTCTCTTACCAAAAAATCTAAAAAATATACAAACACAGTTTATTTTTATAGTCATTTTATGTTCAAATTTGGACTAAATTACATATTAAAAACCTAGTTATTTTGTTGTGATTATATAATATTATTCGTGGGTACCTACTTGAAACTTCTAAAGTGTACTATTATATATCTATGATAGTATCAGGGTTTGTTATTGACGTTGATGTATAACGTGTTATAAGTACCTAATGGATATTGTGATAATGTGATATGAATAATTTGGAATTTATTATAGGTCAATTTTTTTTTTTAATACCATAGATATGTACCTATATATCATTTGTCTTAAACCTAGACTGACATACCGTCTTCGCTCAGAATCTTTTTTCTTATACAATGATATTGTATCATTGAATTCAAATTTAATAGCATCCATTTTACAGTGACCCACTTGTAACCTACTGTACAGCAGAGCGACATCCACTTACCCACCTTTTTAATCTTTATAATCTATTTTTTATCTTAAAACAGCACACAACACAAAAGTTTTTTCAAATTATTATCTTATCAGTTATTCAGAATTAATTATAATTAATTATTCTAGAATATTTTTAAGATATAATTTTTTTGTTTAAAATAATAACATTTTTATTTTCAATTTAGGTATTTGGTGTGTTACCAAGACCATTAGAAAGTAAAAGAGCAACCGAAGTTGCTAATGAGTTACTATCTATATTGTTGACATTTGGAGCTCCAAAAATATTACAGAGTGACAATGGCCGTGAATTTGTAAATTCAGTAATCAACGAACTTAAAGATCTTTGGCCAGAATGTGTTATCGTACATGGTCGCCCTAAACATCCTCAAAGTCAGGGAAGTATTAAGAGGTCTAATCAGGATGTAGAACACATGTTACGAGCATGGATGGCTGATAATAAATCCAAGAAGTGGAGCGTTGGATTAAATTTTGTTCAATTCCAAAAAAATAGTTCATTTCATCGAAAAATTGTACGTAGCCCTTATAAGGCTTTATTTGGAAATGACCCAAAAATTGGACTAAGTACATCAAATTTGCCATCTGATCTATTGAAAAAATTAACAACAGAAGAAGATCTCGAACATATATCTCAGATAAAGGAAACTAAAAAACGCTCAATTGCCTGCAGCATTTGTAAAGTTGATGTGGATTTGGCACTATCGGAGATTGCTGAAAATAATGAAATTATTTGCCAATTATGCGATTCAAGCAAAAATATACAAATTCAACGTGAACTTGGACATGAAGTTCAAATTATAGCTGCAGAGAAAATGATCAAGGTAAATAATAGAATACAGTTATATTGTACTTTTACTATTTAGATCTTAATTTAAATTTACTTTTAACAGGGAAACAACAAAAAAACGGACGATTTTGAAATAAATCAATGTGTTGTATTTGGAGTACCAAAAGTTGATATTGGACCTACAGATCCCCCAAACATAATTTGTGTGATCACGGAACAAAAAAAAAAGGATTACATAAACTTGGAACAAAATATGGTTTACTCAAAGTATGGTTCAGTAGTAAATGTTTGAAAAAATCAACAACTCAATTTCTTACTACTGATCAAGTTGATAAAAATGTTGAATTTTCGGTGAGAGAAATGATTAAAAAAATTTCAGGATTGGAAGGATTTTTGTCTTGTTCGTGTAAGGCAAAAAATCCTTGCCAATCAAGTAGGTGTGCTTGTTTTAGAAATAATATGCAATGTAACAGTCGATGTCATAATCAATCGTCGTGTAAAAATAAATAATAAGGAAAAAATGTATGTAAAGTTTAAGCCGTTTAAGGTATGTTTAAGTTAATCAATTAATTATTTTGTTAGGTAATAAAACAATAGAGAAATATAGGTAGTTAAATATTATAACTATAGTTAATTTCATGAATATTTTATAACACTTAATATAGGACATACGTAACACTGTTGTTTATAAAATATAATATACGTATGGTTTATGAAAAATAAAATAAAAATATAATGTAATATGATATAATTTATTGACTATAATTGCTATATTTTTGTGTATAGAACAATATAGAAAATTACCTATATATTAATCAATCGTGAAAAATTAAATATAATATACGTATCAATGTATAATGATAGTTTATGAACCATTATATAATAAAATAATAATTACACAAAGTACACGATATAGGTATTGTCCATTTCATGAAATGGGTGTCCATCTAATCTAATGTATTTTCGTAAAAATTCACTATCTGGACGAATTTCACTATCTGGATATCCAGTTCATGAAATGAGTGGTTTCACAATGTGGATGCAACATATATAATATATCAAATAAATATATGCATTGAATAATGCGCAATATTTGTTATTTTTCAAACACATCTTTCTAATATTATATAAAGTAAAATAACAATTTGAGTTTTGATCCGACCAATAATATCATTGTATAAGAAAAACGATTCTGAGTGGAGACGGTATGTCAGTCTAGGTATAAGACATATTATATACTTATCTATCGTACTAAAAAAATTTACCTAAAATAGGTACCTATGATAAATTCCAAATTAATCATATCACAATATCCATTAGGTACCTACTTATATTGCGTTATACGTCAACAACAAACCCTGATACTATCATAGATATAAAGTAGTATACTTTAGAAGTATCAAGTACCCACGAATAATATTATACAATCACAACAAAATAACTAAAATAGTTATTCTAGGTTTTTTTTATGTAATTTCATCCAAAGTAGAACTTAAAATGACTACAAAAATAAACTGTCCTAATGTATTTTTTAGATTTTTTGTCAACAGAATAAACTACTTACGTGGAATCTTGTTTTAAATTTTCAATCCTTAGATATAAAAGTTGAACATTTTATACATTTTTAACTACAAAATAATTATTCAATTTTAAATTTGATTCATTTTGTCAAAATTCGATCTTTAAATGCTTATAAAAAAAAATTGTGCCTATGTATTTTTAATATTTTTCAACTGATATTGTAACAATATATCAGGAGCCTTTTATTTTTACACTTTTTGGCCCAACAGATAAAACTTTATTGATATTTATAGAATAAAAAACTAAAAAAAATTGGAGACTGAAAATGTCTGCAAACAACTCAAAAAGAGTCAAAATATTTTCAAAATTGTATGGTGTATAGGAAATGCTAATATAAATATTCAGTGAAATTTTCATGTATCTGCAGTTATTCGTTTTTGAAGTACAACAAAATAAGGAAATTGCTACATGAGAAATCGAGTGAATATCCAATGTTGTAAAAAATTTCAAACGATCATAAAAATTTAATTTGACTTTCTTATAGACATTTTTTTGTTTGATAAAGGTAGATAATCTTATAAGGAATCTTGTATTATATTTTAAAACCTATGATTTAAAAAGAAAATTTTTACGAATTCTTAACTCAAAATAATTTGCTAATTTTCATGATTTTTCCATATTTTGCCAATTTTTGAACTTTAAATGCTTTTAAAAAAAAACTGTGGCTAAGGATTTTTAATATTTTTCAAATGCCATTGTAACAATATAGTTAGGAGCCTTGTATTAAATTTTCAAGCTTTTTCAACCAACAAATAAAATTTTATTGATATTTTTAGAAAAAAAATTTAAAAAAATGGAAAATTAAAATGTGCCTAAACAGGTCAAAATAAATCAAAACATTTTGCAAATGTTATCGTGTATAGAAAATACTAGTATAAAATTTCATGTAAATACGGTCATTTATTTAAGAATTGCACCAAAAACCAAAATCGATTTTTTCGAAAACAGATTTTAGTGTAAAAATGCCCATTTTTCCTTATTTTTATTTTGTTTTTCACGCCGATTTTGAAAACTACTGAGAAATTTTCACTTTTGACCCCCAAAGTACCAATTAGATTCACTTTGCTATCAGAAAAGCTACTTTTGAAGGAAATCCAAGCACTTTTAATGTCCTAAAACGTGATGACAGCAGACAGACACAAAAAAAAAAAAAAAAAAAAAAAAAACACACATCATTGTAAAATCAATCCATTCATCGTTTCACTCAGAATCTAAAAAAATAGAGTATGAAAAAATTAGAGAGTAACCCGCTCTCGTGTGCACGAAGTAGTCACATTCTCAAGGACGATCAGACGAAGCATATAGGTACGTAATCATGCGTTTATGCATCCCAAAATATACCAATCTTAAATACCTAAGCAATTATAGTTATTAAAAATAATAATAATAACTTATTGCATTAAGCGCGTTTGGTTAAATACATAATAACCTAGTGCTCACCGGTCACCAAGAAATTCTTCGACACTAGAAAACTCCAAAACAACTATGTACCTACTATAAATATAATATAGCTTATCAAATGATATACACAACTATTTTTTTTTACATAAACTGAATTTTATTATAATTTACATTTAATAACGTAAAGACAATTTTGTGGTTTGATTTAAATAAATGTATTCAAACATACATTATAATTAGGCATGTAATAATAATAATAATAATAATGGAATAAATTGCATTTAAAGTTTAAACTGTGTGTAGATACAATATATAATGTTAATAATTGATGAAATAAATTTTAAATTAAATCTATAATTTAATTTAATTAAATAACTATGTCCAACTCACCAATCTTCTTTTTCATAACTTTTGAGTCATACACTAAAAGTTAAAATTAGTAAGCAGTCAATTTGTTTTCGAGTAAAATTAAATTAATTTAATATTAAAACATTGTTAGGTAATAAAATAAAAATATAATTGCATTAGTTTATTAATTATTAATATATTATTACAGAATATCTACATCTAAATTACTCTTTCTGGTTAAATAATCTCTTTTTATACATTTCAATTTTGCAAAGAAGTTGGGTGACTCGTCATTTTGGCAGAATACCGTGAATTGGAAATCCTGTTGAGCTTTTGTAACAAGTAGAGCAGTATATCCCTTCCTTCGTCTTGATTGAATTGTATACACAAATTTCAGAACATTTGGATTACTCGGTCGTCTTTGTAGGTGGAAATCGCATTTTGAAAGTAAGTTGATTGACGCAGCAGATTCTTCACACGTTGTTTCATATAAAACTAATATATGCAACATATTGCTTCTACATCGGGGAGTGGATAACCAATCGCCTATAATAACGTGCCTTGTGCCTTGTGTTTTGACCACGAACATGGTTTACGATAAAGACAAAAGAAACACCTTAGGTTTCAAAAATATAGCGGCGTTTTCCAACCCGTTTGTCTTAAATCGTGATCTATTCTAAACATAATATGCTTTTTGGCCAACATAACGAAGAGAGCTAAGATACTAAGAGAAACGATATTAAATTCTAATTCGCACAGAAATTCGTTTAAATTTATGTATTACATGTTTATAGTTATTAAATTAAGGGTGTCGGTGCCGGTCATTTATTAAGGAGTAAAATGTAGGCAATTCAATTCACATGTTGTATCGGCCTCGCGAGGAATCGTACATGTGTGTCAGTATTTAAATTTTAAATCAATATTATTGTGAGTGAGCTATAAAAATTACACTCGCAGATAAAGATATTTACGCACACGCATGCACAAGTTAAGTGATTGACTTCAATGACTATTATCGAAGCACAATTTTGATAAACAAAAATGCTTCTACAGGAAAAACTCTCACGCCGCGTAGATATGTCGGATTTTGGTAATTTTATATTCATCTGAAAGATGAGAAGTTTTTGCTGGTCGGATCTAAGCTTCAGTTTTCATTTTACTTTAAATAGTAGTAGAAAAATAGGTTTGAAAAAGAACAAATATTGTGCATTATTCAAATGCATATTCCAGCTTCTACCTATAATTATAAAAACTCTAAAAAGTTATAATCATCATTTTTATGATTAATCAAATCAAATAAATATTAATTAATTAAATATAACAATTTAAATAAATATTGTATAAGTAAAAAAATGTAAAAATAAAACCGCACATTTCAGAATTTCAGATGTTGAATATACATATTTTAGTTTTTAGATATTTATTTTTAAACACTGAAGTCTGAAATATATGTTTTAGAGAATATGCTTAGAAATTAACCTTTAAATAGGTTACTTTTAAATAAACAGCATTTTATACCCAAGACCCAACTATTGTTAAAAAGTTGACACATTGGCATATTGACTAGTCGAACAACAGGGGGGGTTTTAGGGATTCAAACCCCTCCCCCAAAAATTAATAATAGTGTAATTTTTTTGTATATAATAAAGACTATGACCCTCCCCCTCCCCCACCCCATAAACTACTATGAATTTTTTTTTGTGTACGCACTTGGCTTACACTCAGTGTTGGGATTAAATAAGTACTTTTTTATCTAGATAAAAAAAGATGTTTTTTTTTAATACCTACTTTAAAGTCTAACTTTTTTACTTTTGAGAGTAGGTACACCTTAGATATTGGTATACTACTATTAGTACTTCAATATTATATGAACACCGGCTATATGTTTAAGTTAATTTTATCAGTATACATTATTAGTTATCAATAACCATGGTAAAGTGAAAAAATATTTTAAAAATACCAAGAAAACACTATTTTTCACGACTTGTCACAGTAAATTTTAATTATTATGAACCTTCACAACAGTTTTAGTATGTATTTAAATTTTTTTTAGTAGATATACAATTATGGTTAGGTAAAATACATCTAATATCATGTATATTATGTACATTGCATAAGTATATTATATACTATACAATAAATAAAAGAACACTGCAATTCAAATGTTTTGTCAGTAGACGGTTTCTTCTTGGAGTCAATATTTGGGAACCGCTATACTAAACAATCTTTCAACTGGGTCGGATGATGGTAGAGTCGTGTTGTATTTAAGGAAAACTGATTATTTTAGAACTTTATTAGTTTGGGAGAGCTAATAATGTTATGCCCTTTTCAAAGATTATATCTGAGGCTTATTAAGCTTTTTTTAGTGAATGTTAACCTGATAAATTATTATTTTCAATCACAAACTTGTGCTCTTTTAACATATACACGTACAATTTCTCATTTTTAGCAAATTTGGTCTATTCATCTTCTAACAAATTTGCCGACATAACTACAACTCGTAAACTAAAATCGGCATAAACAAACATTGATACTTTACTAAAATTTCCAGTACAACAAAATTTGTAATTGACAGTATTGATTGGTTTTATACGAGATACAAATTATTGTTACTAACCTATAATGATGACCAAAAGCATTTTTAGTAATTATTTTCTTATGTCTAACATTTTATAATTTTTTCTTTTTAGGTAACTCGGTTATATCTTCATCATAACGCTCATATAAAAGTGTCATTGTTTTTCCCCTGAAAAATATAAATATAATAATGTACAATCTAATTATTAAAAAAAAAAAAAAAATAGAATTACTTAATAAAAACTAAACCTTTAATTAAAACTATATTGTACAAACTTAAATTATTTTTAAAATTTATTATTTAAAGTAATATAAGAATGGACATTTTTCCATAACCCTTTGTCTGTAGGAGTATATAATATACGTTTTCTAAAAGCACTGTCAAAAATAGCATGTAGTTTTTTCTACTAAATAATTGTTGTTTATTTTTTGTGTCTAATGTGATAAAATTACTTGAGACACTAAAATAACTATTATAAATGATGTGCTGCTATCCATAAAGTTAAATTATAGTTAATCAATGTTTGTGAGTTGTATTGTATTTATTTTTTTTTTAATTTTCCATTCCAAAGCCAATAAGATGCATTTATGAATTCTAAGGCCATAAAATACATTTTGATTCAATATCCTGAACTCTTAAATATAGATTTTCCATCACAGATTCTCAGTTCCAGATTCAATAAATTTAAATTTGTTTGGCACGTTTAATAAATTAATAAAAATATAAAATAAACTTGTACGAAGGTCGAAGACATTTACTGCAATGAATTCTGGTATATTTCTTAACTTCTTATCTATACATTAAATATTTTTTTATTCATTGAAGGTACAAGATTTTTGAAACATAGAAATTTAATCAAATTTAATTCATATCAGTAAGGAAATAGCATTAAACATTTATTAGCAATTACTATAATTATTTCTCTATAAGAAATCACATTAGGGCTATTTTTTCTATTTTCTATTTATTATAATAATTATTTAAATTTATGACCATATAACGTTTGATCAGTTATGCAATATTGATCAAAGGGCCAGCAGAGGTCGACCATGAAGTTCAAGTGAAGTGATTCAGTCAAATCACCAAGACTTTTGTCCAAGAGCTCTGAAACAAATAATAATAAAAGTTAGATAGATATTTGATTTTGTGTATTGCGGTTAACAACACAACATTGTTAACAGCTTAAATTATTTTAATGTATTAAGGGGATTGGAAGCGGCGATTTTCTGTCTTTATCTAACACACGTGGAACATAGGATTATAGACGTGTTCTATGTCCAACGTACCGATTAATCTAATGAAGCGATAAGAATTCTGAAAACAGATTTGAATTTGTCGTCAAGTCTACTTGAGATCGACTTTCCCACATTTTTGATTTTTTGATTTAAACTTCTCCAAAAGTTGAAATTTGTAAATTTTTTAAGTACTTTTTATAATATATCATTTTTATGATTTTGGTGGGACAATATCAAAAATGTGGGAAAGTCGATCTCAAGTAGACTTGACGACAAATTCAAATCTGTTTTCAGAATTCTTATCGCTTCATTAGATTAATCGGTACGTTGGACATAGAACACGTCTATAATCCTATGTTCCACGTGTGTTAGATAAAGACAGAAAATCGCCGCTTCCAATCCCCTTAAAGGATAGTACAATATCTAAGTGTCTAGGTATCTACAGTGTCCGTTTAATTTAGCCAGTGATGGTAATGGCCGTACATGTTTTCGCCCAAAATCGACCTTTTGGTTTTTGCCCAAATGACCTTTTTTACCCAAACACAAAAAAGAGTGATTTGGTTTTCGCCCAAAGAAATATTATTTATAGTAAACGAAAAAACATTTTGGTTAACATTGTATTTTTTTTTTTTATTGAAAACGTGTCTAAATGACTATACGTATACCTACATAATATTTAATAAACATTAGTTTATAGGTGTAAAACATCTTAAAAAATAGCATAATAATAAAAATAAAATTTTAAAGATTTTAAATGATATGTATAAGTGTAAAACATATGAAAAAAATAGTATATTATTAAAAATTCAATTATTCGTCGAAGTTATGGCAGATATAGATTAGTGTAAAACATACTATAAAAAAAACCAAAAAAAATAGTCAATGTAAATAATATATGTAAAAACACAGAAAACAGATTTTAAATTATAAAATCTTAAAGAAAATACTATAATATTAAAAATCCAATTATTTGTCAAAGTTATGGCACATAGATTTTATAAATTCGTATCGTGTGAGCCGACCAGATTTGTATTTCATAATTTTTGATTGGTTAATTTCTTGTCGCTTGTATTCTTTCGAAATTTTCAAAAAATGTGCACTATTAATTTTAATATAAATGTCGACTTGAACTTGGAGAATAATATAATTTAAAATCTGTTTTCCGTGTTTTTACATACATTATTTACATTGACTATTTTTTTGATTTTTTTTATAGTATGTTTTACACTAATCTATATCTGCCATAACTTCGACGAATAATTAAATTTTTAATATTATACTATTTTTTTTCATATGTTTTACACTTATACATATCATTTAAAATCTTAAATTTTATTTTTATTATTATGCTATTTTTTAAGATGTTTTACACCTATAAACTAATGTTTATTAAATATTATGTAGGTATACGTATAGTCATTTAGACACATTTTCAATAAAAAAAAAAAAATACAATGTTAACCAAAATGTTTTTTCGTTTACTATAAATAATATTTCTTTGGGCGAAAACCAAATCACTCTTTTTTGTGTTTGGGTAAAAAAGGTCATTTGGGAAAAAACCAAAAGGTCGATTTTGGGCGAAAACCGATTCGCCCATGGTAATTCCTGCCCTAAGTTGTTTTCTGTAGTACACAGTAATCACCTACCTACTGTGTCTATACTGTCTACACACCTGCAAACGACAGTGTTAATTCTTAAGTGTGTGTTCCTGGATCACAGAATATGGGAGACATAAATATTCTGTAAGGCTCAGACTTCTCCAAATTTTTGTTGACC